TATGTGTGTGTGTGTGTGTGTGTGTGTGTTTATATGTTCATATCCACACGTAACACATTATTTCTTTCAGTCACTTTAATCATGTGCTGCTGTTTTCAGCCTGAGCAGATCAGAGTGATGTCAGGGATGACATCACCACAGACAAGCACCAAGTTATTCAGGAGAGAGCCAATCAGCACAGACCTGATGATCAAACTAAATCTGAGGACATGATGTATGACGGGGATGTCCTCAGATGACCAGTCATATGTCTTCTGTCGGGAGGACGATAGTTTGACACATACAGGACGTGAACGTCAGGGTTGGAGAACCAACATGTTCCTGAACGTGTCACAAAAGCCTCAGAGTGAACACACACACACACACACACACACACACATACATGGAAAGTTAGGTATAAGAGTGTCTCATTGTGAGCTGTGTCTACAATATATCGATTCCTTGTCATTGAGATTCTTCAATAAACCACGTCACCGTGACCACGCCCAGCCTGAAGGAACCGACCTGCACAGACAGAGTTCTCATGTTTGTGTGGTCCACTGTGAAGTCTGCCCGTCACCTCTGTTAAACTCTGTCTCTTCCTCCTCATCCTCCTTTCCCTCTTCCTCTCCCTCTTCTTCGTCTGTGTTTCAGCTGCATCACCCGTCGCAGGGTTTTCGTTTTGGGACGGTGAGGGAGAGCAGCGCTGAGGATTACATGAAGAAGAGTTTCCCAGAGATGCACGAGTACATGAGACGCTTCAACGAACCAACCACACCTGAGGGGGTCGCCACTCTCAAGTAAGAGATCACACGAGGACACGCGAGAACACGCGAGAACACACAAGAACACACAAGAACATGCGAGAACACATACGAACACATGAAAATACACAAGAACACACAAGAACACACAAGAACACGCGAGAACATGAGAGAACATGAGAACACACAAGAACACGAGAACACATGAGAACACGAGAACACATGAGAACACACAAGAACACGCGAGAACACGCGAGAACACACGAGAACACACGAGGACACGCGAGAACACGAGAACACATGAGAACACAAGAACACATGAGAACACATGAGAACACATAAGAACACATGAGAACACATGAGAACACACAAGACCACGAGAACACATGAGAACACAAGAACACATGAGAACACATTAGAACACACGAGAATACACAAGAACACATGAGAACACGAGAACACATGAGAACACACGAGAATACACAAGAACACACGAGAACACAGAACACACGAGAAAACACGATAACACGCGAGAACACACGAGAACACGCGAGAACACGAGAACACATGAGAACACAAGAACACATGAGAACACACAAGAACACGCGAGAACACATACGAACACATACGAACACATGAAAATACACAAGAACACACGAGAACACACAAGAACAAACGAGAACACGCGAGAACATGAGAGAACATGAGAATACATGAGAACACACGAGAACACATGAGAACACACGAGAACACACAAGAACACGCGAGAACACACGAAAACACACGAGAACATATGAGAACACGCGAGAACACAAGAACACATGAAAACACAAGAACACATGAGAACACACAAGACCACGAGAACACATGAGAACACAAGAACACATGAGAACACATAAGAACACACGAGAATACACAAGAACACACGAAAACACAACGAGAATACACGAGAACACGCAAGAACACGAGAACACATGAGAACACACGAGAACACGCAAGAACACGAGAACACATGAGAACACACGAGAACACACGAGAACACACGAGAACACAAGAACACATGAGAACACATAAGAACACACGAGAATACACAAGAACACACGAGAACACATGAGAACACACAAGAACACACGAGAACACATGAGAACATAACACGATACAGAGAACAGACGGGACAGCTCTCAGAACAGAACTCAGATCCTCACAATTCTGAAACAGGAAGTTGAAACACTAATGGATGTGATGTCACTGAGTTAAACTCACATTCAGTTCAGTTTGTGGAGGTGGAGTGTTGGGAGGAGAACCGATCAGGTCAGATCAGACCAGATCAGACCGGATCAGACTGGATCAGGTTGATGGACGAGAGCAGTAGCCATTTACAAGTGAATCCAAACATTCAGACAGAACGAGTAAAGTTTCACTGTGATGTTCTGCTGCTCCGTGTGTTCCCACAGTGGTTCTGTCCTGTCACTCTGTGGTTCTGTAGATAACAGGTTCATGTTCTCCTGATGAACGCTCCAAAAATACAGAATCAACACATGGCAGCAGAAGTTTTTATCCTGGCCATGCATGGACCGAGGAGAAAAGTTAGTCAGTTGCTCCATGTGTGGAGAGTGGAGCCACACAGTTTTCCGACCATGTTGTGGAATGTAGATATTTTGGTGAATTTTGTATTTTTTCCTAGGTTAATGTGGCCATTGTCAATTTATGAAATTCCAGTATCCGTTGTGGAGAGAATTGAAAGGTCGGTTAGCTCCTATATTAGGAAAAGGGATACTTCAGCTGCCAGTATCTAGTTTATCAGAGGAATTTAAATGTATTAAGGTCAGGACAGAGCTTTTGTTATCTGGTAGTAAGGACTTGGTAGTTAGGAGTGTGGTTCCAAATCCAACCAAGGGGAGGAAGTGGAACCCAAGATCGGCAGTTCAGGAGGCAGAGGCAGCTCTTAGACATGCAGAGATTGTAGGTAATGTTCAGTTTGGCCGGGGAGGCCTGGGGCTTGGCTCAGGTAAACCGGTATGGAATACAGCAGG